GTGGGGGTTTCTTGTTTTGTTTTTGTTTGTTTTTTTGGCTGATGCTGATTTTGATTGTCTTTTTTTTTTTTTTATCGCTCTCTCTCTCTCTCTTTCTCTCTCTCTCTTCTTCTCTCTCTTCTCTTCTTTCTCTCTCTCTCTCTCTCCCTCCTCTCCCTCCCTCCTCTCCCTCCTCCTCTCCTTCCCTCCCCCTCCCTCCTCCTCTCCTCCTTCCTTCCTCCCACCTCCTTCCTCCCTCTCCACCCTCCTCCCTCCCTCTCCCACCCTCCTCCCTTCCTCCCTCACCCTCTCTCCCTCTCCTCCTTATCTCCCCATCTCGTTTCTGAAAATTGGCCAACTGTCAATGGTTCTCGCCGGAAGCATGATGGATCCCTGCCGAAAAGGAGGGATCCTAGCGTGTGGTGTTTCGCGGGATCCTTCTGCAGGTCGTCAATTAAATATAGATTGATGGCTGGGCAGGTGTATGGTGCAGGACAGCTCAATTGGCTTTGGGTGTAGTGGTGTGTGGTGGCGGGGTGGAGGGGTGGGGGGGGTAGGAGGGGTGGGTGGGTGGGGTGGGGAGTAGGGTGTGTGTGGAGGGGGGAGTGAAGGGGTTGTGTTTGTGTGGGGTGTGTGTGGGGAGGGGGAGTTGTGATTGTGTGGGTGTGGGGTAGGGTTTTGTGTAAGTGTGTGTGAATGTGTGCGTTTGTGTTGTGTACGCGTATGTATGTATGCATGTATGTATGCGCGTGCTTGTGCTTGCTTCCGTGGTGCCAACGAGCGCCTTGACACGAGAATCCCAAGTAGATGTCGCCACTTAACACGTTCCTGCGGCTCTTATTTGTCCTCCCGCGTGCGCCAGAAGAGCTTTATTTGTCCAGAGACGCGGCGAGCAAAAGAGAGCTAGCAAGTTGCAGCTTACCCTTTCCAGCGTTAATTTCCTTCCGCACACTCTGACGTGCACACATGAACGCCGTGCCAGACGCACACAATCACGCGTCCACATTTCAAAAAACGCACACGGGGACAAACACACGCGCACGCACATGTGTTTACGGACACGCACACAAAGTGAAGTAGATACAAACACACGTTAGCAGGATGTTCAGCAATGTTTTTGTTTCTTAGGGTAATTGTGTTGGTTTAACCTTGGAACGTTTTGAAAATGTATAACGGCTTCGACGCAGAGTTAGACGTCTATTTCAGATGCGTTTTCGCAGTGTTGGTGGCCGAGTGGGTGTGTATGGTTGTATGTAGGTAGATGTGTATGTGTGTGTGTGTGTGTGTGTGTGTGTGTGTAAGTGTGTGTGTGTGGGTGTGGGTGGGTGGTGTGGTGTGTGTGTGTGTGTGTGTGTGTGTGTGTGTTTGTGTTTGTATAAATACATGTACTTGAATGCATATATATATATATATATATATATATATATATATATATATATATATATATGTGTGTGTGTGTGTGTGTGTGTGTGTGTGTGTGTGTGTGTGTGTGTGTGTGTGTGTGTGTGTGTGTAAGTAGGTATGTCTATATTTAGATATATACGTATACGAGTGTTTAAGTACACGCAATCTGAATTCCGCACTCAAACGACGACATACATTACAGATAAGTAGCTACACACACAAACACACACGCAGCCACTACACAAACACACTCTCTCTCTCTCACCCTCTCTCTAACTCCCTCTCCCTCACTCCCTCCCACTCCACAAACAAAAGCACCGCGCGCACGCACTCCCGCACCCGGCAGCGATCACGTTCCCCGTGAGACACCGGGGGGACAATGGAGGGAATCGCGGGTCTTTGTAACGGGGTCGTGATAGGCCTAAATCCGGGAAGGATATAGGCTGAGCTCCAACTGTCGCGGGAGGAGGGACCAAGGCGGCCATCTTCCTGAGCGGAGGGAGGGTGGGAGGGAGGGAAGGAAGGGGGGGAGGGAAGGGGGGGCGATTAGAGGAGGAGGGAGGGAGGGAGGAAGGGGCGGTTGGAGGAGGAGGAGGGAGTGAGGGAGGGAGGAAGGAGGGAAGGAAAGAAGGAGGGAGGAAGTGGGGGGAGGGAGGGAAGGGAGGGGGCGGCTGGAGGTGTGTGATGTATGGTGTGTGTGTTTGTGTATGTGTCTGTGAATGCGTGTGGAAGCGCATGGTTAAAATAGGCTTATATTTTTTTTCTTTCTTTCTCTGTACATCCATGCTTAGAAAAAAGTTTTCCTATCGTCATTTACCCGAAATCTCAATCCTGTCTTATGCAAAACCTGTGCATTAACCCTCACACCTACCCTCCTTCCCCTCCTCCCTCCCTCCCTCCTTCCACCTCTCTATCCCAACCCCCTCTCCTTTCTCTCTCTTTCCTGCCCCTTCCCTTCCTCCTTCCCTTCCTCTACCTCTTATCCCCTTCCCTCTCTTCCTTCCTCCTCCACCTTCCTTCCCCCTTCCCTCCCTTCTCTTCCATCCCTTCCTTCCCTCCCTCCACCTCCTACCCTTCCCTTCACCTTCCTCCCTCCCCCCCCCAACTCCGACCTCCCTTCGGCCCGGGCAAAGGCCTCCCCAAACCCAGGCCACAGGGAGGTGAGGATGAGCCTTGGCACAAAGGAACGAAAGAGGGACGAAGGATGAAGGAAGAAGGAAGAAGGACTCAGATGCGGCCAAGGTCTTAAAGATTCATTCTCTCTCTCTCTCTCTCTCTCTCTCCTTCCCTCTCCCTCTCTCCCCTCCCTCTCTCTCTCTCTCCTCTCCTCTCCTCTCTCTCTCTCTCTCTCTCTCTCTCTCCTCTCCCTCTCTCTCTCTTCTCTCTCTCTCCCTCTCCTCTCTCTCTCTCTCTCTCTCTCTCCCTCTCTCCCCTCCTCCCTCTCTCTCTCTCACCCCTCTCTCTCCTCCCTCCTCCCTCCTCCCCCTCTCTCCTCTCCTCTCTCCCTTCTCTCCCTTCCCTCCCTCTCTCCCTCTCTCCTGTCCATCCCGGGCGGCCCAAGGATAGTCTCTCGTGGGCGGGATAAGGTGTCGCTAAACAACTGTATCAACAAAATGGACTCATGTCATGATATCCCTGGGAGATAGGCCTACCGGAGTCGTATGGAAGGATGACAGGCGATGACGTGTTTGTTGGGGGGGGGGGTGGGGGGTGGAGGGAGGGGGGAGGGTGGGAGGGGGGGGTAGGTAGACGGAAAGAAAAATGTACTTGTTTTACTTGAACGATGTATGTGTGTTTTTGTTGTGTTGTATGTGTTGGTATGTGTATGTTTTGTTTTTTTTTTTTTTGTTTTGTATTTGTGTTGTTTTTCTTTTCATTTATTATGGTATTTTTACCCGTTATTGTAATACTGCAGTTCCGGTCGTGGAGTCTGTTAGAAAAAATATATAGAGGAGATAAATTAGGAAAAGTCGCTTTAAGATGTCATTTCTAACAAAAAAAATATATCCTTGTCACAATTACGTTACATTAAAATCGTTATTGAAGAACGGCGGCAATTTTTCAAAGGCAATGACGAAATAAACAGATCATTAATATATGAAATTATAACCCACACCATCGAGCCGTGCACACAACACAGCAAAACTCGAAAACAAACAAATATCTTCCCTTTTTAACTCGATAATTGTGGGAAAATTAACTTCACACCCCCCCCCCTCACCCCACCCACCCACTCAGACACACTCCCCCTCCCCCCCTTCTTCCTTTTCCCCTACCCTACCCACTCAGACACACCTCCCCCTCCCCCCTTCCTTCCCTTCCCCTACCCCTACCCACTCAGACACACCTCCCCCTCCCCCTTCTTCCCTCCCCTACCCTTACCCACTCAGACACACCTCCCCCTCCTCCCACTTCCTCCCTCCCCTACCCCTACCCACTCAGACACACCTCCCCTCCCCACCCCTACCCACTCAAACACACCTCCCTATCCCACCTGTTCCCCCCCCCCCCACCCCCACACAGCCTCAATCCAAGGGGTGGGCCACCTTCGCCCCTCTAATTAAATACCAAATAGGCCTTCCATGTGCCCGTCAGTGTGAGAGCAAGAGCAGAAAGGCCTTTGTTTTTAGGCCTCCCTCAAGTGATTACCCATTAGTGGAAACTGGTTTCACCCTTTGAGGCTCGGAGCCTCAGTCGGCGCCGGCAATGTCTGATAATTATACAGATAGGCCTACATTAAGTCAAGACGAGCGCGCTGCGATATATTGATGAATTAGTCTTCACGCCTCTGGTGCTCGTCTTTGTCGTGCCGGGAAACTGATGAATGGAGGGGCATTTATAACGGATAATCGGAATGGAGAGAAAGAAAGGATGGAAAAAAATAATAGAGGCTTTTTTTTTTTTTTTTTTTTTTTTTTTTTTTTTTTTTGATCATCCAGACGTCAGAGTCGATGCTTTTCTATAGGCCTATGAAGGGCGGGTCTCACGTGAAGGGAGGAGGGGAAGGGGGTGGGGTGGGTGGAGGTGGGGGGTTGTCCCATAGGCCTCCATTCTCATCGTCATCAAAAGCCTTTGTTTATGTTCATTCAGGGTTTGATTTTGGCCTTCCACCTCCAACCTCTCGCTTCCCGGGTTCCTGTCGACCTTTTCGCTCGGCCCAATGGAGTTTGACTCAGTTTTTCCCTGTTTGCTGTATTCTCGTAGCTTAGGTAGATATCTCTTCTCCTAAATGCCATTCTTGTGATTATTTCTATAATGTTGTTGGTCGGTAATGCCACCAGTTTCAGAGCCTGGTGAAGGGTGACTATAATACTCCCTGAAAAAATTTATAATGCTAATAATGATGTATTTATAAAGATAATTCCTATTTCGAACTGTATTTTGCCCCCCTATTGGCCCTCTGAAAAATGTCTCATACAAAAATATGTATACATATAATCATCCAAAAAACCCATCCAGATAATTTTTGACCCCCCCCCCAAAAAAAAAAAAAAAAAAAAAAAAAAAACGGAGAGTCTTTGAAAAGGAACAAATATATATTTTTTTCCTTGGACCTCCAAAATACCATCGGATCAGCCACTATATACCTATGATTGACTCTTGTCTCTTATTCACAGGGAGGGGCGGAAGCTAAGGTAAGTCACCCAAGTGGCACCCTTCTTGGCACAGGGTCAGCTCCAAAAGGGCCTTCCCCGAATGATGTCAGGTCAGCCACACATGCCCTGAGGTCGAGGTCTTTGGAAGTGCAGTCGTTTCGGGAGTGCAGTCGTTTCTTGTTCCCTTTTTTAAGTGTTCTGAAAATGATGCTTAGCGAAGGAGGAGGAGAATCGGAATCGGACTGTCTCTTCTGTTATTGTTGTTATTATTATTGTTGTTGTTATTAATGTTACTTTTATTGTCATTATTATTATTGTTGTTATTAATGTTATTTTTATTGTCATTATTATTTTTGTTGTTATTGGTGTTATTATTATTGTTGTTATTGATGATATTATTATTGTTATTATTATTTTTATTGTTATTATTATTATCATTTTCATTATCATTATTAATATTGTTATTTCATTATTATTTATTATTATTATTATTGTGGATGTTCTTATGCCTTATCTTCTTATATGAGTTTTGATCATTTTATTTACATATGAGATTTTTAACCACACAACCATCATATACATTTAAACCAACACACATGGATATGTTATATATACATTCAAAACATAATTTTTTACATGCGTCAACACCAGTACTAATAATACCAGTAGTTGCAATACTAATATTACAAGTATTAACAGAGCCAGTGATACCAATACCAACCCCCGACAATGCCAGTATCAACCCCATATACACCAGAGTACCCATCCCAAACACACCAGTACCAACCTCATCAACAGCAATACCAGTACTAACCCCATTAATACCAACACCAGTACCAACCCCATATTAACAGAACCAGTGATACCAATACCAACCCCAACATGCCAGTATCAACCCCATATACACCAGAGTACCAACCCAAACACACCAGTCCAACCTCGTCAACAGCAGTACCAGTACTAACCCCCTTAATTCCAACACCAGTACCAACCCATATACACAGAGTACCAATCCCAAATACACCAGTCCCAACCTCATCAACAGCAGTACCAGTACTAACCCCTTAATTCCAGTACCATTTCCAACCCCATTAACCACACCAGTACTAACCCCATTAATACCAACACCATTAATACCGTTAATACCAACACCAGTACCAACCCCATTAATACCAGCACCAACAACACCAGAAACAACACCAGCCCTCCTAACAGCCGCCCACACCAGCACAACCCTCACATTCCTTGGTCGCAGCAGGTAGCCCCCACAACACCAGAGGGGGTCGAAGTAAACATGTACGTTTTATAGAGTTCAACAACAGTAGGTGACGTAATTTTTTTCTCTCTTTTCTTTCTTTCTTTCTCCCTTCTTCCTGTAATAAGAAAAAAGAGGAAGATAAGAAATATATATATGCTAGAGATAACAATCTTTTTTTTTTTTTTTTTTTTTTGGTATCTCACATTTCTGGTTTGTGTGGGTACCGTAACAGGCGATGTACCCTCCCCCCCCCACCCCCCTACCAAACACCCCCCAGATATGCTCGTTTCTTTGCTGATATTGGCGTGGGTCGTTTGTTTAAGGTGTGACTATTTTAATTCGTTTTAATAGATTTTTTTTTTTTCGGTCGTCTACGTCAGTGGTTGTTAAGGTTCAGAAATATTAAGAGAATGATTTATGTTTCGTTTTTAGTGGTGTTGTGTGTTTATATGTGTTCATAGTTGTTTGTGAGTGCTTACTTCTGTCTGTACACGTGTCTGTATGCGTGTGTACTCTCTGTAATATACAGTATGTGTATATAAATATATATATATATATTATATATATATATATATATATATATATATATATATTATATATATATATATATATAATATATATATGTGTGTATATATATAGTGTATATTACATAGAGTACGCTTGCATATATGTGTGTGTGTGTGTGTGTGTGTGTGTGTGTGTGTGTGTGTGTGTGTATGTTATGTATATGTATTTATATAAATATATATAGATATGTATATATATATATATATATATATATATATATAATGTATATATATTATATGAATATATATAGATATATATATATTATAATATATATAATGTATATATATATATATGTGTATATATATATATACATATATACATATATATATATATATATATATATATATATTATATATATTTATATAAATACATATACATACATATATGTATATATATATATATATACATATCTATATATATTTATATAAGTACATATACATACACACACACACACACACACACACACACACACACACACACACACACACACACACACACACACACACACACACACACACACACACACACACACACACACACACACACACATATGCAAGCGTACTTTCTGTAATATACAGTAAATATATATATATATATAATATATATATATATATATAATATATATATTATATATATATATATATATATACACACACACAATTAATGCGTGCCTGCCTCAAAGAGCCAGAGGGCGGCATCGCAAAGGTGCCATGACCCCCACTGGGTGCCATTCGAAGGCGAATCACTTTGATTAAAACGTCTCGCTGAGAATACTTTAACTTTTTTGGATGATCAGGTCTTTAATTATCGTCCGTGTGCATTATCAAGTATCGTGTAACATTTAGAAAAAAAATTATATAAAGGAATGATTTAAATGCCACTGGCATATGTCAGCGATTCACAAAAAGATCTATTCCGCCAGTCCTCCGGCACCAGTCATTCCCGGCATAGCATTAACTCTCGTGTCGTTACTCGCGTGAGTGGCATGCTGTCATGACATGGCGCGCTGGCACACTCCCAGTGCCATGTGTCACCAAGCGGACTTTAATTAAAATACTTCAACAAACGGCCATCGCCAACCACGCTCCGCCGCCGTTGCATGTTCGACACACGCTCCAGGGTTCCGTAAGGTTCATTATCTCCTTCGCCTGACGTGTGTTGATGGGCCCTAAGGCGCTTTGTGGTATGGCACTGTCTCGTCGCCGCGTCTGTTCGCACCCCGTTTCACGCTACGCCTAGACGCTCCCCCCCTCCCTCCCCTCCCCACCCACCCCTACCCCTTCCTCTTCCTCCCTTCCCCGCCTTGCCTCCGACCGAAATTGTTTTCCATTTGTGTTTGTATATATTTTTCTCTTTTTGGTTTATTTCATGTTTCGTCCATGATCTACTTTTTTTTTTATCATATACCAATATTAGAGAAAAGACGAAAATTATGCAAAATATATAACAACATATATAACAATTTAGATTAAAAAAAACAGACCCCCCCCCAAAAAAAAAAATAATAAAAGATAAAAAGTGAATAAAAGAAACACGAAACATAACTAATGCAAGCGGCGTTGATAGCGTGGAAGCACACTTGGCGTTGAAAACCTTCGTCAGCCAAAGTCAGCCATAAAACACACAGCTGTCACTAATGTACAAAGACACGTCATTGAGTCACGGGCTTGAAGGAGAGAAAAAAAATGTACGTGGAGTAAATATTACGTTAATTATGTATGTATATGTAAATTTATCGTACGCACTTTAACATATACGCACGTACGCACATGTCCATGCATACACACGCGCGCACACACACGCAAACGCTCGCACACACACACACACACACACACCACACACACACACACACACACACACACACACACACACACACACACACACACACACACACACACACACACACACACACACACACACACACACACACACATATATATAACTGTACGTTTTCTTAATTCATGCTAATGTGTTTCTGTACTAGCTCTCATGCATATATACATATACATATTCACTGACAAGTTAAGCATTTATTAGCCACACACAGATGCAAAGATAATGCGAAGAAAGGATTAGAGAGAGAGAGAGAGAGGAGAGAGAGAGAGAGAGAGAGAGAGAGAGAGAGAGAGAGAGAGAGAGAGAGAAGAGAGAGAGAGAGAGAAGAGAGAAGACTAACAGATAGACAGAAATACAGACAGACGGATACATAACGAGAGACAAAGAGATGAAATAAGGCTAGCTCGAGGGAGAGAGAATGAGAAAATGAGCGAGAGAAAGAGAATCACACACACACACACACACACACACAGAATGAGAGAAAAAAAAGAAAGACAAAGACACAGACACAGAGCCAGAGAGACAGCGAGAGCAAAAGATACGATAAGATAAAAAGCAAAAAACACCAAACCCGTAGCAAGAGCGACACCCGACAACCCCGACCCGACAGCCCGACCGCCGACCCGTGCCCCACAACCCGACAGAGAAGGAGATGCCCGGCGTCGGCTCCTCTCTCTATCCGCGGATCCCGATACAAGTTGTCCCATTTGATTTGCAAATGAACCTCAGAAATCAATTGGTTTGGAAAATGAATAATACATCGCAGCTCAATTAAAAAAAAAAAAAAAAAAAGGGGTCAGGTCCCGACAACCGGAATATTGTTCAAGTCGTCATCCCTTCCTGCCGCCGGCGGGGCTCGGAAGGGGCGCCCTCGGCATGCCTTATGACCCTCTCTCTCGCTCCACGCCCGCGGGATCGTCACCTTTGCCCCCGAGCGCTGACCCCGGGGTTTATTCGCGGGCGTGTGGGGGTGGGGGGAGGGGGATGGGGGGGGGTGTGTGGGAGGGTGGGGTGTATGTGTGTGTGGGTTGGGAGGGTGATGTATGTGCGAGAGGGTAAGGGTGTGTGCGTGTGTGTGAGTGCGAGTGCTTGCGTGCGTGCGTGTGCCATGCGTGCACAAGTGGCGAGTGTGACTTTGCATGTGTGCGCGCGCCTTATGCATGCCCTGATCCTCGGCGGGTCTTGAGGCTCCGCCGAGGAATACGAAAGCAGACGCGCTTTTCCCTCCGCCCTCTCGCCCCGCCCGTGTTTGTGTCGGGCCGGGACCTCGCTCGCTCGACAAATAATTGGCTTTGTCGAGGCTTCATCATCATCGCGAGTTGAGTGGGCGCTTCACCCGCGCGCGGACTCTGAGCGTCCACTCAGGGGCTGATCCGAGGCGGGACTCGTTAAGGGCAGCGCCGGCAGCCTCGCCCGCGTCGACTCCGGTGGCGCGGAGTGTTTGCCCAAGGTCTGTGCTCATGGGCGTCAGCACGGGCGGCCGGGCGTGTGGAGGTGGGCGCGACGCGTTGCATTGTGGGCGTCATCGGGTCTCGGTATCCGCGGAATGCCGAGTCTCCCCGGATCTGATTCCTTCCCCGTGATCAGCGCGCCCGAGGGACGCTCTCGCTCTCTCTCCCCTGCGGCCGTTGCTGACGAAAGCTCCTGCCCGACGCACGTTCCGGCGGCGTCTGGTCAGCGCGAGTGCGGGTCGGGTCCGAACCGACCTCCTCCTCCTCTCCTCCTCCTCCTCCTCCTCCTCCTCCTCCTCCTCCTCCTCCTCCTCCTCCCTCCTCCTCCTCCTCCCTCCTCCTCCTCCTCCTCCTCCTCCTCCACCGACTATCGGAGGAAGCGGCGACGAGCGCGGCGAGAGCGGTGTCGGCGAACCAATAATGAAATCGGGGCCGAAGGCGGGCCAAAATTACGCGGAACTGTGGCAACGCCGGCTGGATGCATGACTAATTGGCAAGGTGGGGCCGAGCCGCGCCGGCCGCTGATTGGTCGGCCGCCTCCTCCCCAGGACACACCTAACACTCGCACACACTACACTCGCCGCGCGCAAATTAGGGAATGCGCGCCTAATGTCGAGTTTTTCGAAGAACGATTAGGCACATGGGCTTATTTGGGAGGGAGGGGGTGGGGGGAAGGGGGAGGGAACGTGAGGAGGAGGAGGGGGCCGTTGTGTACATATGCGCTTTGAGGAAGAGGAGTTGATCGCCAGGGCCTCGTCGGCGATTTCGCTTGCAAAGCACGGCGGTGCATTCGTGAGGGCGAAGGTATATCGGCGTGTGGGAGATGGGACGTGAGGCTGCGTCTTATGCGGGCCTCATGGCCTCATGGCCTCATAGACGGGGAGGTGACAGCATATCGGAACCGTATTTCCTTAAAGATCACTCTTGGATCACCACAACTTTTCCTTGGATTAATCATTGTATCGTTTTGTTATCATTATTATTATCATGATTTGATTGATCGATATCACACCACCGTTATACCAGATCACTCTATTTCCTTTCGAAATATTTCCCTTCGCCCATGACTCACCTTTCTATAAACACGAGACCAATCATTTTCTCTGTCACTGAAACGCTTCGAAGTAAAAACAAAAACAAAAGAAGAAGA